TGGCCTCTGCAGACTCTCCCGCCTCGACTCCATCTGCTCACCTTCCTAGAGTTCCGTTCCCATCACTATCCTGCTTGAAAACCTTTCAGTGGCCAAATAAGGCCTGAACCCTTAAACTTGGCATTCGGGTCCCACACAACCAGCATCAAACTACACTGCAGCCGCTCCTGCAAGCTGAGGCTCTGATCAATGCAAGGTGTTAGTTCTTCTCCAGCTAAACTGGAGACGTCCCCACCTTTCTTGGTACACTTGTACTTGCCTTCCTTTCTATCTAACAAGGATGCTTTAAGGGTTGTGCAAAGCCTTTGCAGAATTTAGAGGGTAGAAAAAGTACTTCTAGCTGGAGGAGGTGGGGAGTTGGATGTTCCGGGAAAGATTCACAGGATAAATTGGATTTTAATTGTGCCTTTAAGGATGCTATTAAGTAAATTGAATAATCTCTGAATTTAAATGAAGAAACTAATATTTAAAATATATTTATTTGGAAATTATTCTCTCCCCCCTTTGAAAAAGAATGTAAGTTTGAAGTCAAAAATACTAAAGCAATTACAATATGGAGTACTATAATAATTTGTTACAGGAATTTTAACCTGTAATCTCGTTTTATTAAATAATATTTCTTATAGTATGAAAACCGCTAGGTAATCCATATACTGAGATGTTTGCCTCTACCTCTTTTAATGTATAATCTAAGATTAAATTTGTTTCACTATAGGCGCCCAGATTTACACATTCCAGTCCTTTGTTAAGTGGGCAGAAATTGACTAATTTACACGTTACCATCATTTTTCACCCCCATTTTCCTTGTTAACAAATTATTTGCGAGATGATTGGTAGAGGTTAGAAGTAAATTCTATGATCAAAGAATCCTATGAGTCTGCTTTGCTAAGACTAATGACTAATTCTTTCTGAGGTTATCTTACTTCTATAGAAATTATTAATAATTTTCACTGGTTATGATATTACACAGAATCAGAGAGGTCAATGGTGTGGTTTCTGAATACAACCTGGCTGTTTCACACAGTCAGCTGGAAGCTATGCTCACATTCAGTGCATCTCCCCAGTGGAGGATTCCCCTTAGTTTGAGTTAAATTAGCAACGCTACTTCATTCTCCCCCTATAACAATAGAGCTGCTTGTTATTGGGTGTCACTGGAAAGATAGCTTTATTTGTGGAAGAAGAGACGTTTGTGTATGGAGAGAGGCAGTGTACCATGGTGGTTAAGAGTAAGTCCTCTGCAGCCAGCCTGCCTAGGTCTAAACTAGCAAGAACATTTACTAGCTGTGCAACTTTGGCTGAGGTAGTTAACCTTTGTTTCAGTTTTACCATCTCTAAAATGGGGATGGAGATCATTGTTTCTATCTCATAAGATTACCGTAAGGATTAAGTGAGTATATCTATACATAACTATCCTCTCTCATATAATAGAATATATATTATATGAGAGAGATCAATTAGAATCATACCTAGTGCATGATAAGTGGTTTGTAATACTACTACTATTATTGTTAGGTGTCATTTGTCTATTATGGCTCAAAGACCTTAATTGTAACTGGAAATAGCTCCTAGTAAATTTGCTTATTGTATTTCTGTTTCCATATCTACTACCAGAGCTAAAACAACCAAAAAGAATTTTATATTTCCCAAATTTATTTGCATTCTGTCTTTATCTAATCTCAAACTACCAGTCTAAGTTCAGTAAAAACTTTCAGTGGTGGCACATTGATTCAACCGGAGGATAGAATTCCCAGATCTGTTGCTTGTTCAGCTTGGCTTACCACGGGCTAGCATGTAAAGAACACTGGACCAGAGAAGATGACGTGGAATGTTTTAGTCTATCTTCTTATTTCTGTGAAACGACTTGTCTAATTACAAATGCCTATGAGATTTGGAATATTTGAACTGACAGTCTGAATTGATCAAATTAAATGAAAAACTGTCAAAACGCTACTGTATTTTGTGTTGAAGACAGATCACTCAGTGGAGAAAAAGAAGGCAAGATGCTTATTATTCACTGAACTCTGGAATTACCAGCTTCACTTTCCATTCCATTTGTCTTTAGTTTTATAATCTTATGCTTTGGCCCTAAAACTATAGTCACAGAACCATTGGTTCATTGAATCTCAGAGCTGGAAGGGACTTCAGAGACCACCTAGTTCTAGTCTTCCTTTTATAAATGAGGAAAATGAGATTCATTATGTTGAAATGACTTACATAATTCAGATGGATATGATTTGATTTGAGTTTAAAGAGTGAAATCTTAGCAAGATGATAGCTTGTTATTTCACAGTCATTAACTAGCTCTACATTTCCTATTATTGGATACTAAAAGAATTTCCAAGTTCTTTTGTAGGTGTGTTGCTCTTTGAAACTTGTTGAAAATACATAAAGACATCATGCCCCAAATTTATGTTTAATATTAATTATTTTTTGTGGGTTTTCATGTGCAAGCAGACTTTCATTAAGAGCTGCTAAAGGATTTTTCTTCTTTATCATTTAAGCTTAACCCAGCAGCAATGATTACATCTGATTAATTGCAAAACACAGAATCTGGGATTCTTGTAGCTACTGTCAGGTACTCCTTTAATTACATTCGTTTGGATTAAATTGAAGTTAAACTTCACTTAAACTTGTAATCAAACAAGTTGAAACTTCAGTTCACCTTGTCATTTCCTTTACCAATCACACCCTGGTTTTTTTTTTTTTTTTTTGAGACAGAGTCTCACTTTGTTGCCCAGGCTAGAGTGAGTGCCGTGGTGTCAGCCTGGCTCACAGCAACCTCAATCTCTGGGGCTCAGCGATCCTACTGCCTCAGCCTCCAGAGTAGCTGGGACTACAGGCATGCCTGGCTAATTTTTTGTATATATATTTTTAGTTGGTCAATTAATTTATTTCTATTTTTGGTAGAGATGGGGTCTCGCTCAGGCTGGTTTCAAACTCCTGACCTTGAGCGATCCGCCCGCCTCGGCCTCCTAAAGTGCTAGGATTACAAGCGTGAGCCACCACGCCCGGCCCACACCCTGTTTTAAAGTGATATATTTCAGCTTCTGACTGTTTCATGGTTCCTAGCTCTGACTCCTCACACCCATTTACAAACCTACACAGACAGATGCAGTCTCTCTAAGTTTTTTCTACCAAATGGAACGGAAGAACCACTAGGCTGGAAAAAATATACATGACCCATGATTCATATACCTCTTGTAATGTATAATCTAAGATTAAATTTATTTAATTTTAATTATTATATTATAAAAAAATTTATTCTAGAGTGTTTCTTTATCTTGGCTTACTTTTTTTTCTTAGAAAAGATTTCTAAATGTCCAAAATGCTCAACTTACTAAATAGCATTGGTAAAAATTTCATTGCAATAAATACTACTATATTTATTATACTTCAAACTTGTTTTCTTATAAAGGGACTTGTAATAAAAATTTAGTCAAATATCACATGAACACAGTTCAAGGAGGCAGGACTTAGATTTACAAGAAAGCATTATCCAGCTTCCCTATGAAGAATGAGCCAGTGAGCCCAGGAGGTTTGAACCTAGTAACGGAAAGATGCAACCAATCTTTCTCCCTTCTCCCATCCCATCATTAAAAAAAAGAACATTCCCAGTTAAAAAACATATCCTTGCTATTCTTTATTTTATTTGTTTATTTGGAAGCTGAGTGGGCTGTCCTCAGAGGGTGGGTGGCATTTTAGCCATGGGAGTGAGAGTTTCTATCTGCCTCTGTGCTGCCCACTTGGCCTCTCCTCCCTCCCTCCTTGGCTCTCTCCTGCTTTGTCACAGAGTGGAGAGGGCACAGTTAGAACCATCACAGGGTTTGACCTTTCTTCCTGCATTCCAGTACACTCTCACCTGTCTTTGTAGATGAAACCTATAGCCCTGGAATCGAGGATTCACATGAATGTGGAATCAGGGACTCAGCCCTCCCAGCCTGCAGAATGCACTTTGCTATCTGCCATTTATGCCCTGACTCAATTTCTCCCAATTTCTCCCATTAGCTTTGCCCTTCCCTCCAGCCTACTCCTATATCCATTGTCATCTTTTATTAGCACAGTTGCTTTTATTTAAAAAAAAAAAGAAACAAAACTAAAAACAGAACCAAAATTGTTCTTCTATGAAGGGAGAGCATGCACAATAATGTCTTTTTCCAGGTGAGGTGAGAGTTTATGCTCACTCCCCCCTCACACTTGCGTCCTTGTGACCAGAGCTGGTAGGGAGGCTAGAGCCAGGGGTACAGTCAGCTGTGACCACAGAGTAGGAAATAGCCAACTGGCTGTCACTAAGAAATCTTACATCCATGGTCTTATTGGCACATGCACGAAACCAATGGAGTTCAACACTCCTAATCAGTCGTATCCAGCCTTTGTGAGCCCAGTGGCACATGACTCTTCTTCCACGATGGTGTGGCTCTCAAGCCAGTTTCTGAACAGATTGTAAAGCGGGAGGAACCAAGTGAGTTTGGCAGAACCTAAGACCATGGTCAAATGTTAATAAGAATTATTCAGACCTCAAATTTGACACTTAGGCAAAAGAGGGAACTCTTTCCAAGAGGAGATTTATTTTCTCCACACAGATGACAAGGTCTGAATGAACCCAATTAAAACAGAGCCAGTTTTGAAGCACCCGGCGGGTGCGTGTCTACAATTTTTCTGTGGCGATTCACAAACCACTGGATAGGTAATGCTGTACTAAAAGGAATTTAAGCCTGTCAGGTTAATTACACAATATTAGGTACGAAAACAAACAGTGCAACACAAAACATAGCTACATCATTATTGGCAGTAAATGTTAACTCTAAATAAGTGCAACCTGTCCATAAATGCTTGCTATAAACTAATTAAAAAAATAAAATTTGATGGATAAAACATGAAAAAAAAATTCTCACTGAGAATTTTTTTTTTAAATATCAGCACTCATTTAGAGTTTGGGATTCGTGAAAGAAAGCTTTAAAAGGAGCAAACCTGATTGGCTGTGGCTGTTGCTGCGAAGGGGACACTTGTTGCAGGAGTTGTTGCTGCAGAGACAGTGGCGGACGTAGCGCTGTGCATCATGGGTACTTTCAGGAGGGGACCATGGGAGCAATGAACAGGAGGGTGTAGCATTATGGTAATAGAAGTGGCGTTTGGCATGGTGAATATCAGAGCAGCAAGCCATCATGGGTTAAACCAGCAGATGGCATGCAATCACAATGCAAAGCAAGGAAGCATGGGAGAGAAATAAAAAAGGGAAAATAGCTTATTACAAGTACAATTAAAGGAAGTTTTAAAACATAATCAGTGATTCCCAGAAAGGCCAAAGCAGATGACTTTGGTTGATGTATTTATAAATATTTTATTTCTAACAATAGATCCATTCCCAATCCAGACTATATAGTGTAGGTAATAATAGTTGTTTCTAAAAATGGGAAAGGTAATGTCCAATGAAATAAAAAAAATATGATATTCACTTTTAATCACAAATTCTAAAACATCAAAGGCTCTACATGTAGGCTTAATTTGGAATAGGATGTTCTTTGGAATTAATTGTGGTAAATCAAATTTTTTTCCCAATTTGGGACTGCTTATATAAAATGGAACTGCTGTGGACTGTGGTTTATTTGGATCAATAAATGATGGAGCGAAAATCATGGCCTTGATGCAAATTCTAACACCATTACTCTGGTATAACCAGACAAATTTTGCCAACATTTATTTTTCTTGACTCTAAGTGGAATGAATCCATATGTTCTAAAGACAGCCTTTTGTATCAAGGCATTAAAATGTGTGAGGATAACTGCATACTATTAAAATTTAACAGCGGAGGGAATGCTGAAGTACAAAAAAATCATCACAAATAAATCAACACTTATAATTTCAAAAGATAATTAAGTAAGGAAACTCAGACACTTGGTTTCAAAATACATCCATTTACAATTTTTAAAAAATAAATACTTCTGGGAAACTCTGATAACTCTAACACACAGCAAAGAGGAGATAAAGGCACACCACTATGAAACTTTAAAACATTGATGAAATTAGCCTGCCTCTCTGATAAAGTAAGCTCTTTCCCCTTGTGCTACACCATATCAACTATCAAGAGAAACAAAACACAAATCATTAAAAAGCAGACTCGTACTTGTGGTTTTATGTTTTTGTTTGCGATTGTTCTAGCACAAGAGGTCACATTAAAACCATCACTTTCTTAAATACAAAAGTACATTTTTAAAAATCTGTATGTTAACTCTAAAGCCAAATAAGCCTTCAGATATACTATTTCCTAAAGCATTTCTACCATCTCTGAAATAAATTTCAAGCAAGTGAAGGTATCGTACATCATATAAAAGACAAATAAAAAAGGTTGAAACCTACCAATACTGGTAGCGGGTGTCATGCACAAAACTGACCCTGATGTCATGCAATGGTGGGTGGAAAAAGTGAATAAAGGGAAAGAAACAGGTTAGCGGTTTAGAGTTAACATTCAAAGTGAGATTGAAGCACAACCAGAAATAAGTAGGGTTAGTTAACACAGTCTTTTAGGGCCATTCACATTGTCAGTACAGACACAAATATATCTGACTTATTTTAAGCCAATATTATTCCAAGCTCACTCCTTAGACTACTGTTCACACTTTCTATTCATATACATCAACATGATTCTCATAAAAATGACATGTGATAATGCCGTGGTGTCCTTCCTCTAAGACGGCAAAGTATTTTACAGACATTATCAGGTTAATCCTCCAAGGTAGGAAGTGGGTATTTTACAGATGAAAAATCTGAGGCATAGTAACTCCTCCAAGGTCATGCATAGTGAGAGTCAAGGGTAAGGCTAGAAATAGAACTCTACTCCTGAATCCAGGTCAGGTTTTATATTCACACGATTATGCTGAATTTAGTGCATTGAAAGTTTACTTGTTTGACTGTAAAACTTTTATGTCAGCAACAATATGAAAATAAGAACAGTAATTAAGATTTCATATTCTCCAAATCGAAGTCTTATAGGGCAAGATAAGTTAATTTTAGATCATTGCTCGAAAGCCCAGTAACGTAGGAAGATTAAGATACTTGGATGGATTGCCCTGGGTGTGTACCTGTGTGCGATCCATTTTCTGCTATGAGATTCATTGTAATAACGGAGTAGTGCCTAGCAATAAAGGCACTCCTAGGAAATCTCAAGTAGGTGCCTAAATGGGCAGGTGGGAAGTAGGGAAGAGGGATTTCAGCCCTTCCTTAGAAATAGTTGCTGTATATGTGGAGGTTTTATTACTGTGCCTGAATCAGAAAATTCTGACCATGAATGTTAATGTCTGTTGTGGAGAACTGAGAAAGAATTGTATTGAGAGCTTTGAGGAATTATATGCTACTGATTCAGTACCATGAAAAGCAAGGTAATATGTGGATTTAGACAACTGACAACTGAACGTCCAGTAAGTGCCAGAGAGGGAGTTTTTAATGAACATAGGTGTACCCACTTAGGGTTTCAGATTTGCCTTCTGAGATATTAGCTGTTCACACCACAAGGATCCTTTTTGCCTGACCTACATTTTGATCAGGTTAATATTACCTATTCAGGAAAGGGAGCTATTTTACTGGGCTACTACTGGATTCTTCAACAGACATGCACCAATATATCCAACTTAAAACACACACACACATGCGCGCACACACACACACACACACACACTCTCACATTCCCCCTCAAAATCCCTTTCACGACACCATATCTTTCTTCAGCCCTATTTCTCTAATCTTCACAAACTTTTGGAAAGTTAACTGCACATAAATTTTCACTTCCTTGTCCCCATTTATTCTTCCATCCTCTCCAATTGGGCTTTCATTTTTACCTCTGCAAATGTCAGTCACCAAAGAACTCCATATTGCTGCAATCAGTAGGCATCATCACCTAACTGTCCTGATTCTCAGTAGCATTTAGCACTCGCCCACCTCCTACATAATAAACCACTCTCTTCCCTTAGAGTTTTGGTCTCTCTCTCTCTCTCTCACACACACACACATTTTCTTTTTCTTTCTGGCAACTCCCTTTTATTTATTTTGCTGGATTCTCTTCTTTCCCTGAATTCTGCATCTCTATATTCTAGAGGTTTTCAAGACTCAGTTATGGGTCCTTTTCACCTACTCTATACTTTTTCCTGGTATATCATTCAATGCATGGATTTGAATCCCGTGAGCTCATGGCTTCCACATTTATGCATCTTGCCCAGACCTCTTCTCTGAGCTCCAGGTCCTTTCATCTCACTGCATACCTGGCCTCTCTACTTGGATGTCTCACACGTGTCTCAAATATGATGTGTCCAAACTTTGATCTTTTTCACAGAATCTGTTTCTCTCTCTCAGGAAATACCTGATTGCTCACTGTCTACGTAGAGCTCTAGTCTGAACTGAAAGTTATGCCTGATACCACTTGCCCTGGTGCGATTGCTCAGTCCAACTTACCAATAAGCCAGAGAAATCCTGCTTCTAAAGTGCAGCTAGCCTTTGTCTGTTTGCCCATCACTACCGCCAATTCTCAAGTCCCGGTCACCACATCTCTAAGCTGGGCTATTTGTGATAACATTCTAACTGGTCTTCCAGCTTCCATTTTTCTTCCTTCCTCAGCCCATTCTCCACTCTGCCAGCAGAGTAAATCTTTCCAAATGCAGGCTGGCCACTTCTCTGCTGGAAAGGATTTGGTGTCTTCTCGTTGCTTCGAGGATAAAGGTGCCCTGTGGTTCAGGCTGTGACTACCCTGCAGGCTGTCCTACACCTCTCTTCCCTGGCACCATGACCCAGACAGGTTAGCTTTTCATTTCTCTGAACTGTACGTGTCACACTTTTGCCCTATTTTTGAGCTGCCTATAAGCTGTCCTCTGAGCCTAGAATAATCTTCACCCCACTCTTCCAGGTCTCAAAGTTCATGCCACTTCTTTAGAAGTTGTTCAGTTGTTCTTTTACCTACTTCCCCATGCCATCAAGTCAGTTTTCCATTTTTAGTCTCATTGAGCCCTGTACTTTTTCATTCATAGTACAGGTTGAGCATTCCAAATCCAAAATGCTCCGATCTGAAAGCTTTTGAGTACCAACATGACCCTCAAAGGAAATGCTCATTGGAGTATTTCAATTTTCAGATTTGAGATGCTCAACTGGTAATGAAATGAAAATATTCCAAAATTAAAAAAAAAAAATCCAAAACACTTCTGGTCCCAAGTATTTTGGGTAAGAGATACTCAACCTGTCCTCATGAAAAATTTAACTATATATTTATATGGATATTTGCTGAACATCCATCTTTCCTCCTCCACTATAAACTCTGGGAGGCAGAGTTCCTGTCTGACCAGGTCTGTGGAGGCATGTAGAAGGTGGTCGATGTGTTGAATGAATATTCTTAGCCATTAGTAAGAAGCATGTTGGGAACAATTTGTTCCTAAAATTTATTAAAATACCAAGTTTGTGAATTATTTGATTTTAAAGTTAACTGTGGCTGGATTCAAAGTTGCCCCTATAAAACCCCCCTCTTATTTTCTTCTTTCCAATGTGGAGGGGCTTTCTTGGAGGGTTTTCCTGTGTCATGCATGTGAATGTCTTCGGGACTGCAAACAATCAACAGCTCCCACAGCCACAGTGGGCTAGGATTAGTCATGTCACTTTGGCTTCAGTCCTCCATGTGGCCGGAATGCTGGACCAAATTAATTCAATGAGCCTCTCTCTCTCATGCAGCTGAATAATGATGTGAATTCTGGAAACACATAACCGTGTGTTCGGCTGTGTGTGGCTCTCTTACTCAATGCCAGATTTTGGTCCCGATCTTCTTTGCAAACTGCATCTCTGCCTTTTCACCCCATTGCTCACCTCCACTCTTTGCACACACTCTGTAAGGACTTTATTATACTCCAGCTACATGTAACACTTTCTATTCTTCAAATACATTCTTCCCATCCCCTGTCTGGGATTCTCTTCCTCGTTGGTAAAATCTTGCTTCTGTTTCAAAGTCTTAAGCTTCTCTTCCAAAGACCAATCTCCTACTTTGGAAAGTCTTCTTTCTCCATATCCTTCAGAACCACAACCCACTCACTGCACAAGCTGAAGGCAGAAGCCTGGCCTTCCTCTCCATCACTCTCCAGTAGCATTGCTCAGACCTGCAGCTAGTCCTTCACTCTGTGCATGGTATTTGGTTTTCACCTAGTTTTGAACTCTTTTATATTCTCATTACTGGCTCTGGAACCCAGAACATACTATGCTTTCAAGAAATGTTTGCTAAATTGAATGGAATAAATAAATGTTGTTGTGGTTATGCAGACGTAGTTTCCACTGCAAACACTGATAAATCATTCACCAAGTTGTACGATAACCTTATGTAACATTTATGGTTTCTCATCATTAGGCAATATTTGGGTTAGCACTTTCCCCTGGTCTAGTTACTCTGCCATTCCTTTATAATGAAATAAATCATGGAAGGAATCTGGGCAGTCACCTTTGTTCTGACCAGCTGAAGCATTTCACAAAAGCATTAATTCTATGAACAAACCCTTCTCAAATGGTTTCTGTTGCACAAATATTTCGGCTCTCGTGTCTGTGAGCCAGAATTATCTAGATAATTCCGTTAATTACATATTCCACTTTGCAGTGTAGACACAGCCTCAGTTTTTCCATCTGCAAAATGCAAATAACTATGCCTGACACTAAAGAATTGCAACATCTTGAAGAATAATGAGATAATGTCTATAAGAACACTTACAGTAACTCAGAATAAACCTGTCAGAGAAATGCCAAGAATTATTATGCTGCTATTTTTGAAAGTGTGTGCGGTTTTTGCCATGTTCCTAACATAGCAAAGAAAAAGTATAACTACTTGGTTAAAATCATCTCTATGAAAAAAGTAAAAAAAAAAAAAGAGAAAAATCTCACCCACTGCAAATGTGCTAGGGCATCAACTAGGGTGATAATTATCTTAGCATGGGTTTGGAGTAGACTCATATTTTACATAAAATTTTATATTAATATCTTTTTAGCCTGGAGGCAGAATTCCTAAATTTCAAATTCACACTGTGTCAATGGGAGAATTTGAGTAGCCTATTAAAAACTTTACTATGAATGACCTTTCAATAAAGGGCATCCTCCAGGAGAACATAAAATGCTTTTCATTTCATGTTTATGATGGTTGTTTATATAAAACATCTATAGAAAAATCAAAATTAGTTCATTTAAAAATAATGGACTCACTATCAAGTTACAAAAATTATATTTGAGCATCATCATTTGATTTGCACAGGTTTAAAAACAATGATGATTAACAATGAATGATTATTATCATTACTATTTTAAAAACAAAGTTGAAAATATGGTTTATAAGAAACAAAGTCTGAAGTAAAAAACTTGAGCTAAAATAAACACTAAAATGTCTATTATGGATTTGAGTGGGAGAAAAATTATGCTAATTTCCTTTTAATAAAATTATTTTCTCTTTCCTCATTTAAGAGAAATGTGAACATGTCTTAGAATTTAAAATACCATTTCAGAACATGAGATCCACGTGTTTGTCCAGTATGATATTTACATCATGTAACAGATGGAAACACTTCTAATTCACTGAATTAAGTGGGCTAGGACCCACTTTTCTGCTACCAAAGCCCTCTGTATTGTGGGTTGCCAGACACACTTAAGCTGTTCCTAAGGTATCCACCAGAGGGCGGAAGTACACAACTACAGCAGCCAATACAGCACATCGGTCCTTCATATAATACATTTCATCAACAAATACCAGGTCATGGCATAAAGGCTGTTATTCATTCTTGCTTTGGAAATATTTAAATAGTTTCAAGGTGAAATAGTTTACAGTGAGGATTCTTTCAATATCTTAATAAGTCATCCATTATTGGATGGAGTGTTAAATATGTGTTAGGGTTTGAGAGTCTTTTGCCCTGCTTAGCTTCAGGGTTTCATAGGTAATCCCAGGAGACGGGAATGGTGGTATCATTCATTCTTCAGAAAAAGACTTGTCCTTTTCTGTTTTCCCCCTTAATATATTCTTCCTTAATTTTTTTTTCCTCTTAAAATATCTAGTGGCCAAGAGGTCTACAATGAGACACTTGTAGAAACCACACAGGACCTCAAGCTAAGTTTACCTTCTAGTGATTATTTCACAAATGTTATTTAAAATGGATTGCATCTACAAATACTGTTATGCTACAACAGCACTGGAATGTCACTAGTTATTGTTGTAATAGGGCAAGAATGAAGCCCTAATAAGTACTGAATTAGAGAGTCCCTCTATAGGTCAATGAGTTTGTTTATTTTAAGATGGGTTTAAAACTAAATAAAGAAAACTAAGCACTAAAAACCATTTTGTTTATGCAATTTATATTTTTACTATTATAAATAGTGTTCCCAGGTTACTAATTCATTTCAATATGTAGATTTTATACAAAGAATATCACAGAAATATTTATTCGATTCTCTCAGATATTAACTCCTGATATGCTATGAGATTTAAAGAAACGGATAATAAACTGGAAAAGTCCAAACATATGCCTTAGGTTATACAATCTCTTTTTGTTAAAATTGTTATTCATCTATATTTACCTTCAACTCACTATCATGGGATGAAGGATTTGACTTCAGAATGAAAACTTAATGGATGGTCTTCCCACCAAAGGCTACATCAGACTAAAAGTTGAAAATCACAGTCAACCAACGGTGACTGTGTTCGTTTGTGTATGCCGTGTGTGTTTGTGGTCAAGGATGTAGGCAAAAACTGCGTAGGGCTAACATGCATTATACTTTTGTTTCTTCACTTTTATCTGACTTTTTTGGCACTTTAAAAAAAAAGTCCACTTTTATCTCATTTTTTAGTAGAACTCTGTGGAATCAATAGCTAGAGGAGGGGTGGGTGGTGTAACGTCATGTCAGGTGAATTGGTCACAGGGAAAGTAGGTTCTAATCTTTTTATCATGAGTTGTGCCACCTTGGAAAGTCACTTCTCCTTTAGGGGGCCTCAGTTTTGTCATCTGTAAAACAATCAACTGGATGAGGAGATCACTAAGAATCCTTTAAACTCCAAGATTCTACGATTAATACAACTGATCTCTTAGTGGAATAACAGAGTTAATGCACCATAGCGCCTAATATTATCAGGCATTGGCTTAGAAACCAAGAGTAAGAGCTCTATATATTTGTGAACTTGGTGAAAGTTGAGAAGGATGGAGAAAGAGAGAGAATGAATATAAAAATATGAGTAGAGGATTGCTTTAATTTGAATAGCCTTGTTTTATTTTTAGTGCTCTGCATAGAGATAGAAAAAAAAATGGTTAGTATTTACTGGAATTGCTATTTTTGGATCATTCAGCATTAACTACAAATTTCAACTGTCACACATAAAAGGTCTTTATTTACATAAATAATTTTACAGGGCTTGTATAAATACAAGAAACCCAAAGCCCTAACTGCTCGCTGCTTCTCATGGTTTAAACCTGTCACTTAACTCTATCAAATATTTGGCTTTAGAATCCTAACGCTCTTTAGCTATCATTCCAAGCAAGGGAAATCTGTCTAGATAGCTAGGACAACGATGGATTTCAAGCTGTATCGGACCTTTCAAAGCAAACTAGATGCCACCAAACAGCTTAAAGGAATGAGAAGAAAGCACATGACCGGAAGGGCACGAGGGCACAGGACGTGGGACAGTAAGGGCACTTACCTGTCGGGATGAAGGCGGCGTGTTGCTGCAACTGTGCGCTGGTGAGAGCCTGCTGGTAATGCAGGACGCTGGGGTTAAAGACCGCACTGGTCCCGTTGCTTTTTTCAAGTGCTTGTCTCTTTGGTAAAGGATGAAGTGCACCAGGGGGAAAGGCCTACAAATGAAGAATTCGATAAGATATGTCTAACTTAAAGCAAACACACCTTCCGTGTCCACAGAGATCATCAATTGCAACATTCTTTTTTTTTTTTTTTTTTTTTTTTAAATAAAACGACAGCTAAGGAGATGCCTCTGCCATGCACCTTAATTTAAACAGCGGCAATGTCGAATGAGTGAGATTTTGTTATTGAGAGCGAAAGCATGATTTCTGTAACCCAAAACGGTAGCATCTCAACTAAGGAAAAGAAAAACTATCAAGCAACAACAACAAAAAAATGGCTTCAGCTTTTAAAACGAGTTAAACTATTCTAAGGGGGGAAAGAAGCATTTGTGTTATTAATAATACCTATTCTTTTCTTTAACTAAATGGCAATTGTTTTGAATTTTAAAGGTTAATAAGAATTATAACGAACATTTTCTGAGCCAAGTAATTTATATTTGCTTCACTCTTTTGGAAAAGGTATTAAAATTTGTTAGGATTAATTTATTTCACAGATTACATATGAAAAATGAGATGGCTAAACACCTTATTGACTTTTTTCCATAAATTAATAATTATGATTGTTTGCAACCAATATTTTACGAGTAATACAAATCTTGGATGGTTCTCTGAAAAGCTACATGCAAAGCGAAAGGTGAAAGGTCAAAGTACCAGGTCTACAGTTGCTTCGAGAGGTCGCTTCATTGCTTTGGCAGTCGACTGAGTCTTTTAATAACAGGCAGCGAGCACATGATGGCAGTGGGCCAATGGGATTCAAGCGAATTAACATACAGGTAAACAGCAAGCAGAGGTGCATCATGGGAACGGCATTGCATTGTGGATAGGTGAGAAGGAAAAAAATATTCTGAATGCAATATACAACGTACAAAACACTAGGCATGCACAACAACAAAAATGTTCTCTAAAGAAATGAATATTACACCTTAAATTAGTATTGAAGCAAAAATGCATCTACTATACCTTAGTTAAAAGCATATAAGAGAGTAAAATATAGATGTTTGAAATTCAGGAAAGTTAAAACAGCAGCTTGCATACACACCATAAGCATTTTTTATATTGCTTCAGAAAAAAATGCAAAACTTTTAAGGGCCATAGGATTGAAGAACTTCTGATAAGTTAGTTTTCAAATATAAAACAATGAATGCATCAAGTCAATATAAGGTCCAAGTTGAAAATTTTCATAAAAATAACTTTGAATTCAGATCTAGCCTAACAAAATGAAGTGGCAAACTGAGACAAAAAATTCAGGCAAAAAACTATTCAAACACAAGATTATTTAGGCAAAACTGTTTGGGTTTGGATCTTTATTTTTTGTCTGAATCATGTGGATAATTGTCTCAATTCTTTTCTTCACTCTGCTAGTGTGGGTCTTGTAATGTGGACTAAGGTTCCAAATTTAATGTCTTGAATTTAAATAGTGAGTTTCCAGAATTTCCCACCTTTATTCCATCATCTGGTTTCTAATGACTAACTTATCATCCATTCTGTTTTCTACTACATTTGAAATGATAATTTAATTTCTCTAATAACTTACCTGATTACACTAAGAAAATACCCTTTAAAAAGATATTTAGTGTCTTCAGGTACCAAAATAATTTCTATTTAGTAATTCTATTTGTACGATCTATTTAGCTACGATCAGTGACCAATCCTGTTAATGAGAAATGGAACTCTTGGCTAGAACAAGTACAACAGCTAAAAATAGCAAACAGCTAAAAACAGCAAAGAACTGCTTGAAGGATTAGAAGTAAAATAATATCTTTCACTTATAAACAATACTTTTGGGAGATAGTTTCACTTAAACAGCTAAAATAATAACAAATATGGATCGATTTAGACCACACTGAAAAATTTTCCTATTCTTTGTTAATTTAAAAAAAAACTAAAACTAAACATTCTAAGATGGAATTCTGTGAAAATAAAGAAAGTCAAAGGAATATAGCTCCAATGCAAATAAAAAATGAAGTACCTTTTTTCTATGCTTAGCACAATAAGTAAATCCCTAAGGTTTGTCTATTAAATGCAAATATCATATTTTAAAGTTCTGAGATAGAAGTTTCTCATTTGAAATAAAATGGGATAGTACTAAACCCTTAAAATGGGAGACCATTAATGACATTTCCCCTGGCAAATACAGGATGTTCATTCCCAGTTGATGATTCAGGATAAAAAGTACAAAGGTGACAGGAGATAGGTGGAGAGCTATAGAGGGGAAAAAGAGAGGCCAGAAATAAAGTGGAAAGGACTATAGGTAGAGAAGATATTTACAAAGGCCAATGGGGAAGAAAATGTTTGGGAAGGCAGTTTTGATAGAGGCCATCAAATAATATAAAATCAATGTTGTGAAAGTAGAATTGTGAACATTAAAAAAAGAAGAACCAAGGAGCTCAACAATAAGAAAGCTTCTGTGTACTGGATGTTCTTTCCTCACTTGTAAGTTTGACATCGTGTAATTTCCATGATGCCATTTTTGTTTTAAAATCTTTCATCCCCACACAGTTTTACATTGTAAAGTAATGCAGGGTTTTGTGGTTTTGTTTTGTTTTTAGCTTAAATTAATCTGCATTAGCTAAAGAAGGCTGCATAGCCTATTCTCCCATTAACTGGATGGTTAAACCCAAAATCAGTTTGGCCTTGATTTCCTGGGCTCAATTTTTCCCTTCAAATTTCTAGTCTCTAAGAATTATAGAATGAATCCACTAGTGGGTTGATCTTTTCCCACATGCTGACTAGAAGAGTGGTTATGTCTCCAAAGGCTGGTATTTATGAACACAATTTTGACTTAAAAAAAAAGCACCATTTAATGAAATCTCCAAGTAGAATAAGAAATATGACATATTTCTCCTTATGTCACCTGGAAGGTCCATTTTCTCCCCTTTTATGTCTGAGTTTGATGAAACTTAAATTGCATAGACTTTAGAATAATCTAGGGATGAAAAAAGCTTGAGGACTCTAAAATGAACAGGACAGTGACAACATAGCTCTTTCTACTGCTCCTTAGTGTGGGTTTTCTTTATTAAATGCAAAGATCTTCTTTTCAAGTAAACACTGAGGTCTGGGAGGGTAGAGCATACACATTAATATCTTGTACACACTGTGAAACATGTGCAGAGTGAATTTTTTAAAAATCCATGTGGATGAATAATCATGTTATAATATAGCTTTTTAGTATACAGATGCTCTGTTTTAGATGATACGGTTTGCTAGAATCTACGTCTGCCTACGCCGAAAGATCTTTAGGCTTAGAACAGACCTTACAGATCACCGAGCCCAGTGCACCCAGAAGCCTCCTTAGGCACCAAGGTGGAGAAAAAGCTTCTTTTTATTAATAATTGTGCTCACACTATGTGCAGCCAAGTTTTTCTTTTTCTGGATTGAGGAACAATCCAACTGCATGCAGGTCAAGGCAATCAAACCAAGGCATGATATGCAACAACCCAGTCTGGGCAGTTGGGAAATGCTGACAAACATAATCAGAGCTTCCACTCTCATGTAAAATAAAAAGATGTAGACAAGTAGGGGGGGAATTTAAAGCTCCTGTAGAGATTTTCTTGAACAATCTGAAACTTATCTAGCTGGTGGCAGCTTGTCCTGTTTCCTTTTGCAAAATAGTTCTCTCCTGTGTCTCCCCATTTTGGTATCTGTGAAAAAAGACTGCTTGTATGAAGATCAGAGGCCCTTTGTGTTTAAAACTACCAAAGAGAGGTTCTGTCTGGCTTGTTCTCTCACATTTTACAAATTCTGGTAAGTGGGATGCTTGTGTTTTAAGAGATATCAAAAAGAGATATTTAAAAGAATAATGCTCTAATGGGAAACAAATGACTCTTTTTCTGAAGTTAAAGCTTTAAATTCTTTTTAAGGGTCTAATTAATTAAATTAAGGAGTAAATCCCCAGATAATATTAATAATAAAAATTGCGCTAGGGAAGTGCTTTAGGTTCAGACATGGAAACCAGGTGAACAGAATAGTAATATCTTTGAACTGCAACCATCACTCTCATTTATCCTTTTAAATAAAGAAATAAGAGAATAGTTTTTCTTCAGATTCTGAAGAGTCATCTTGCTACTAGAGTATGAACACTTTGACTTCATCCAACTGCAACTCAGCTGGTTCCAACTGCGCCTCTCACTTCAACTAAATAGACAATGACAGATTCAGTAATTTTCCTGTCATTGTCAGAAAGAAGCTGGCTCTTGTTCTGAAACTACATTCCTTCGGGTTATCTTTGAAGAGGTTGCAAGATCGTCGGACTTATCAGAACTCTGAATTTGGGCACCGTGTAACAATCCAAGAAATTACGGTAACTAACTCTACTGGCATCCACTACAACAATCTTTATGCATCTTGACGAATGTGATGTGAAAATGTGTAGAAAGGCACAGAGAAGATAATAGCTTTGAATTAAAGATATGTGGCTGAGGAATGAACTGTCTATGTAAATGGCCATTTCTTCTCTTATTTGCATCAGCCCAGGTCATCTACCATGTTGTTCCTTGGATGATTAAAATATATATTGATTGCAGTTGTTAGCATTGGTACTTCTAGGAAACAGGCAGATAATATCAGGGCTCAGCCATAAGGTCACTATTAGTACCATAATCTGTTGTATTAGCAGGTACAGGCATATATTGTTTTATTGGAATTTGCTTTATTGCACTTTGCAGATAATACGTTTTTTAAAAATTGAAGGTTTGTGGCAGGCCTGCATCAAACAAGTCTGTCAGTGCCATTTTCCCCACAGCATGTGCTAACTTTGTGTCTCTATGTCACATTCTCACAATATTTCAAACTTTTTTCATTATTGTTATACATTGTATCGGTTGTGGTGATTTGTGATCAGTGATCTTTGATGGTACTATGGTACTTGTTTTGGGGTGCCATGAACCATGCCCTTATCATATGATAAATTTAATGATAAATGTCATATGTGTTCTGACTGCTCCACCAATGGCCCAGAGATGGCCTTAGCCCATCTCTTCCCTCTTTTGGGGCTTCCCTATTCCCTGAGACACAACAATATTGAAATTAAGCCAATGAATAACACTACAATTGCCTCTAAGTGTTCAAGCGAAAGGAAGAGCTGCACATCTCTCACTTGAAATCAAAAGCTAGAAATGATAAAGCTTAGTGAGGCATGTCAAAACAAGATAGGTCAAAAGCCAGGGCTCTTGTACCCAACAGTTTTAGCTAAGTTATGGATGCAAAGAAAAATTTCTTGAAGGAAATTAAAATTATTACTCAAGTGAACATATGAATAAGGGAGTGAAACAGATTTACTGATGTGGGGAAAGTTTGAGTGGTCTGGATAGAAGATCAAACCGGCCACAGCATTCCTTTAAGCCAAAGTCTAATCCAGAACAAGGCCCTAACTCTTTACTTTTATGGAGGCTGAGAGAGGTGAGGAGCTGCAGAAGAAAAGTTTGAAGCTAGCAGATGTGCATTCACAAGGTTTAAGGAAAGAAGTTGCTTCTACAACATAAAAGTGGGAAGTGAGCAGCAAGTGCTCAATGGAGAAGCCACAGCAAGTTATCCAGTAGATCTAGCTAAAGGTGGCCCTCTTGAAGGTGGCTACATTAAATAACAGATTTTCAATGTGCATGAAACAGCATTCTGTTGGAAAAAGATGCCATGTTGGAAAAAGATGCCATAGCTATAAAGGAGAAGTCAATGGCTTCAAAGATTTAAAGGAGAGGCTGACTCTCTTATTAGGGGCTAATGCAGATGGTGACTTGAAGTTGAAGTCAATGTTCATTTGCCATATGAAAATCTTAGGGCCCTTAAAATTTATGCTAAATCTACTCTCCCTATGTTCTAGAAATGTAATAACAAAGCCTGGATGACAGCACATCTGTTTACAGCATGGATTATTGAATATTTTAAGCCCACAGTCGAGGTTTACTGCTCAGAAAAAAAAGATTCCTTTCATAATGTTACAGCTCATTGACAATGCAATGAGCTCTGGTTGCCAAGAGCTTTGGTGGAGATGTACAATGAGATGAATTTGTTTTCATGTCTGCTAACACAATATCCATTCTGCAACCCATGGATCGAGGATAAATTTTGAATTTCAAAGTCTTACTTTATTTAAGAAACACATTTTGTAAGGCTATAGCTGCCATAGATACAGCTGGCATAATTTCTTCAATGGATCTGAGAAAAGTAAGTTGAAAATCTTCCAGAAAAAAGGATTCACCATTCAAGGTGTCATTAAAAACATTCATGATTGATGAGAAGTCAAAATATTAACATGAACAGGAGTGTGGAAGAAGTTGATTCCAACCATCATGGATGACTTTGAGGGGTCCAAGACCTCAGTAGAGGAAGTCCCTGCAGATATGGTGGAAATAGCAAGAGAACTAGAATTAGAAGTGGAATCTGAGGATGTGACTGAATTGCTGCAACCTCAAGATAAAACTAACAAATGAGGAGTTGCTTCTTACGGATGAGCAAAGTAAGTGGTGCCTTGAGATAGAATCTACTCCTGGTGAAGATGCTGTGAGTTTTGTTGAAATGAGAACAAAGGATTTAGAAAATTACATAAACTTAGTTGATAAGGCAGCAGCAGGGTTTGAGAGGATTGACTCCAATTTTGAAAGAAGTTCTGCTGTGGGTAAAATGCTATCAAACAGCATTGCATGCTGCAGAGAAATCTTTCGTGAAAGGAAGGACCAATCAATGTGGCAGACTTTATCATTGTCTTATTTTAAGAAATCGCCACAGCTACCCTAGCCTTAAGCAACCACCCAATCATGTCAATATCCATCAACATTGGGGCAAGACCCTCCACCAGCAAAAAGACTATGACTGGCTGAAGGGTCATGTGATGGTTGTTTTTTTCTTTTCCCCCAACAATAAAATATTTTTTAATTAAGGCATGTACATTGCCTTTTTAGACAATGCTACTGCACACTTAATATGGTGTAAATATAACTTTTATATGCACTAGGAAACAAAAAATTCACGTGACTTACTTTATTGCGATATTAGCTTTATTGCCATGATCTGGAATCCAACCTGCAATATCTGTAAGGTATGCCTGTATTTGAGTTATAGATAGGGACTAATGTTTTCATGTTCCCAGGGCCTGCTTTCATACCCCAGTGGCCAGAGATGGCCACTGTAACCCAGGCTGAGCCAGTCACCATCCTATCACTCTAGCCACAGAGACAGCCATCAAAATGACCCTTAACTGTTTGTTTATTCTAATTAGAGCTTGTGTAGAAGATACCATTTTCTATCTTGTCAAAAGATGTAAGAACATGTCCCTATAGATGTCCAAAGCCATGGCCTGGGTCTTGTAGAGATGCTGGCCTTAGAGAATAGCCTTTACCTTCCAAGAGATGCAAGGACAAGAAAGAAGAGGGAGAACTGCTGGTTCTTAAGTTCTTGGACCCACATATTTCTGAGCCCTGTTTTGTCCCTACCTTCTTTGGAGAGCACTACATGATCAAGTAAAGTTCAACTTCTTCATTTAAGCTACTTCAGTTGGATTTTTGCCTCTTGCAACCAGAGTTCTTACTGGGCTGGAGGGATATCCTGTACACCTAGTTATGATTTATAATGTGAATTTTATAGAAAAACATGTTCTTAGTGCCCATCAATCAACACATCTATTAGGAGAAGTTGGGCTGGCCTAAAATGATTACAATGAGAAACTTCTTACTTCTTATAGGATGAGATCTTCAATACATAGATGGTACATTGGTTTCCACACTGGAGAAATGCATAAAGGACCTCATTTGTTCTCTAAAAGAAGTCCTTTTTTTTTTTTTTATCAGCATTAAGTTATCTAATTACTTTCATCTTCCCTTCCCTCCTCCCCATTCTCAATTACAATGGGCTTTGGAAACTGCCCTTTTATTAGAACAACAAAAGGGAGAATTTCTCTATTTTTTGCTGACCCTTTTGTGTGGGTACAAACATCTCCACATATATAGGAACTCACACACTCAGAAAAGCCAAGGTTTGGTCCAGTGACATGAGAATGAGAAAGACAAGAGGAAAGGACACTAAAGTGACAAAGACCTTGAGAGAAAAACCATGAGACACAGAAGGCCCCTGTGCCCAAGGTGCTTGGAAATAAGCTAAGATCGGAAAGGTCTCTAGAACAACAAACTGCACACCATGTGGTGATTAACCTCTGTAAGTCTCTGTGCCTTTCGCTCTGTGTCTCCACTGCCTGTCACAGGTCCATGGCTTAATAAGCATTTGTGAAAAGAATGCTGAGTAATGATGAACTCGCTTGTGTCACAACTACACTTCCATTTAAATCAGTTACCAACGTATGAGGTGGTGGTTGCTAGCTAGTGTTTTTAATTATACCTTTCATCTCTGAAGTCACATCAGCTAACTTTCCTTTTGAGTCCCTCATGCCCCAATGCACTCCATCATGTCCCTGAGGAGCATTAGTGCCCTCACTAAACTACAAGCTCCTCAAGGGCAAAGAACTCAGCCTGATTTATTTATTCTACTCAGCAAGTGCTGGATGCATGGGCTCATTAAACACATTGAATGAATGAATTCACGGTGCCTATCACATATTGAAACAGACTTCTGATAAGCCAGAGAGCTCACATTAAAACAAATTAATTAGAAGCTTCTACAGCCTAGCACATTGGGTCTCAAACTTTGCTGTGCATTGGAATCACCTGGGACCTTTGAAAAATCAAGACCACAGCCTAGGCCACCCTTAGACCTATTTATTTAATAGACCTATTAACTAAGACATTTTGGGAGAAGGGAAAGATGTCAGACCCTTTAGGTAATTCCAAAAATGTAGCCAAGTTGGAGAAGCAGTGTCTAGGCAGGTGCTTCTCAAATGTCAATGTGCATTGACATTGACAAAACACCTGGAGGAGTTTTGAAGTTCAAATTCTGATGCCCAAGGTCTGGGACGAGGCCCAAGATTCTGGAGCTTTAACAGGCCCCTAGGTGATGATAATGATGCCACTGTTGGTCTCTAAGGGACAGTTTGATTCCATGGGATTCTGGAGCTGTAGCAGGCTCCCAGGCGATGCTAATGAGGTTGCTGCTAAGGTGACAGTAAGGTGACTCAGGGAAGCAAGCCTGGTCACAGGGTTTTTTTTGTTTGTTTTTTCTTTCTTTTTTTTTTTTTTTGGCACCAGCCAGCCAGTGCAGCTCCATTTTCATCTGAACTGCAGTTGGTGTTCTGCATAAAATTTCGGTGGGGAAATTGCCCTTGAGAAAAGAAAAAGGAGAAGGGGGAAAATTGGAATAGGGAAAAGGCAGTCACCGACAGGTCCCTTACTGCGGGGCTTCTCTTAGGGGCACTGCTCTTAGCAGCTTGCTGCTTTCTCTACCTGGGCTGCCTTAGTGCACCCTCCTTTGTCCCTCTCTGAAGGCCCGGTGTGGGGCCCGCTTTCTTGTCCATTGCAACGCCCCTGAGCCCCTCTCCTAAGAAGACCCCACGCTAAGACAAAGCAGTCTGCTCAGACCCGCCCCTGAGGGATTTACTTATTGTGCTGAAGAAGGGAAGGAGGGGGAGAAACCAAACCAAATGAAACCAAACAAAAAGGGGAAAACAACAACAAAACTTAGGCAGCAGAGCAGCGGGAATAGCAGCTTTCCGGGGGCCCCCACTGTTGGGAAGAGCGGCCGGCGGAGGGCGCCGCGGCAGGTGCAGGGGCGGGCGCCGCACTTACCATGACTGTGGCCGCGGCCGCGGCTGCCTGGGCGGCCACCGCGGCTTGGTTGGCTTGGTGCTGCGCTGCTTTGATTTTGGCCTGCAAGTGTGCAGGAGGGTGAAAATATTTGCATTTCTCCCTCATGCAACGCCCCTTTATGTAATCCATACAAACGGTTACGGTGTTGTCGTTTGTGTCGATCATGGTGCTGTCGGCGGGGTGTGCAAAGCGGCAGTCGGTCTCTCCCCGGGCGCAGTTCCCGCGCTGGAACTCCCTGCATACCTGAGACACAGGGAAGAAGAGCCGCGATGCAGCGCAGAGCCTGGCGGCCGCGCGCTGAGAACCAGGCGCCTGCTCTCCCTCGCTTGCAATGGTGGCTTTTGGGCCGAGCACAGTACAATTCGGATTATCCGGAACCCAAGTAACCAGAATCTCTCTGCCAAACTCACTTGAGTTTTGTTTTTCTCCCTTTCCTAGGATGAAAGTCTGTATTGAGAAAATAATCCACAATCTGCAGTTTAGATAAAATAAGAAAGAAAAATCAACAAGGCCTTCATTGTCCCTGAGTAGTATATCATCTATCTATCTATCTATCTATCTATCTATCTATCTATCTATCTATCTATCTATCTATCATCTATCTAACTATCTATGTATCTTCAAATCTCCTACCCAGAGAACAACTTTGGGATGGTATGGGTTTTTTTGTTTTTTGGGTTTTGTTTTTTTTTTTTTTTTTTTGCATGGAAGGGTAATTTCATCATGCATCAAGCTACCAGGTCATACTCGTGCAACTCCACAAACAGAGGAAATAGCAAACTTGTTCCTCCTATCTCTGAGGATGGGGAGTGTTTTGGGTGAATGTTGATACTCCTGTTTGCCCCTCTTCTCCCTGCTCTACAAAGATAACTTATAATCATAAACCAAGAACAATATCTAAGACACCAAAACCTTCATTTTAAGGTTATTATATTATTATTTTTGACAGCACAGAAAGAAGATAAGAAAGTAAAGATAAAGCAAGAGAAATATGGCAAGAGACAAAGGTAAAGAAGTAAATAAACTGAGGGGAGTGGAATAGAGCTGGAAGCGTTGATATTTTTAATTCTTTAATCCCAAATTATCCTGAAACCTCAAGTAACTAGAATTGCCCATCCACTGAGAATTCTGGTGGATCAAGATTTTACTTATAAAGAAAGATTTCTTTAAAATTTGAAGAGTATTCTTAATTATGCCCTGAATATAGATGACATGAAATAATATGAATAGCATACATATTGTTTATATAATTCTTCCCTGCTTGTACATATCATACAGATCATTAGCAAGAAAAAAATTACTAGTAGAGTTGTTAAGTTTATCTCTTTCCAGGCTCCAGTTCGCAAGTGTGTAAGTGTCGGTTCACACCTTGATCACCTTGATATTTATGAAGGGTCCCTGACTTGAAATTGAAGTCTCATGAAAGTCAAACATAGTTGCAAAATACTGTTTCACTGACCAGTGGCCAGGCAAGGTTGAAGGGTAAACAGCATGAATTGTGCATCATTTCCTCCTACTTTGAAAATTAGCCAAGATTCTCTCTGTAGTTCATGAAACCTACAAAATAAAAATCGCTGAGATGTTCCCATAGATTGTGAGTAAGCCTTCTTCTATAAATGGAATGACTCCTGTCCGTGACAGCGTCATAGGTGCAGACAAGCCATCAAGCACCTACCAAGGGGCTCTGCGTGCTGCTGACTTCATTCCTGGTTTGAATGAGCCGAAAGGCGCCCTGCTACAGTCATTGCGAATCATTGTCACATGTCTTTGTCTACTAGCACTGTTGGGAAGGACTATTTGTTCCCAATTCTGCTGATTTAATTTGTTTTCTAAAACAGTCGCATACCAAACACAAAAGCTCCATGGGTCCAGCAGGTGGAGCCCAAAACACTTTTCCAGTCCCATGAAAGATCTATTCAGGGCTAACAGGGATAGGCTCTATCTATTCAAAATAGAAGCAATTAGACTTTACATTCTCTTTAACTGGGGATCCATATACTTCAGATTGAAGCTGAGTGAAAAAATATGTGTCTTTAAAAATATTTGCAGCTTGAAATTCTGAATTTTAAAACATTCACAGGCTATTCGGCAGCAATACTTTATTGCCCTCAAGGTTTACTGGGTTAGGATGTAAACAAATGCACATTGAGAGAACATTCTGTAAAGATCCAACATAAAGTACAATGTACGTCCCAACCATACTTTACGTCCAACGTAAAGTACAATGTGTCGCCTAAGAACTTCAATCAGTAATAGAAGTAGAGGAGCTCTTTGAAAAATCTATGAGAATCTTTACACACCCTTATTATATGCTCTATTAAACATCACAGGGATGTAGTCGTAAGATAAATAGATGAATTCTCCAGCTGTGAGTAAAGAGAAACTTTACCCAACAAAGTACAGGGAGGTTGGCTCCACTCATGACTTAGGAATTAAGTTTTATAAATATATGAACTTGTTTTCTTGAATGTTCTAGATAGAACACTTGCATTTAGGTTAAAGAAAATATCTCAATTAATAACTAAATTTACCCAGCTTCCAATTCTCCCGTTTCCCAAGAACACAATCAGGGCTGATGTCCTGGCACATACCCAAAATAGCCATACTTGTTCTTAAAATATTGAAATATGACCATATGAATTGGTAAAGGGTTGTAATCCCACTTCTTCCCACCCCTGTCCCAGATTGTCCCTGGTTGCCCTGGTTGCTGATCTCTTGATCTGCTGGTTTCTAGAACTTTCTAGGATCTAGCAAGGGCTAGTGCCTGGCACAGCAGGAGACCTTCAGGGAGGGAGCCATCTCTATGGCCTGCATAGAGATTGATTCAACATTCTTTGATTGTTTAATATTTTGACCTTAAACACGTATTCCATGCACCTGATTTTTGTTTGTATTAAAGTTATTCCTTTCTCACAGACTAATTTCCTTTGGCCTTTATTTCCTTACTTGGCCTTTATTTCAAACCATAGAATTATGAATGCATAGGTTTTAGATGAGAGAGAGAGAGAGAGAATGTGTGTGTGTGTGTGTGTGTGTGTGTGTTTGTGTGTGTGCCAGTGGTCATGGCTGTTTTACAGGATTGAATTAATATCTCCCAAGCTATCACTTACATAAAAATATACTTCTACAACAAATGAATCTCAAAACACAAACATAATTGAAGTACCTCCAGTTTGTCAGTCCTGAGAAGTTTCTGAGTTGCAGTTGAGCCCGGGACAGTGACAGGTGGACTTCCGGGAACAATAACGGGTGTGGTGGGTAGAATTTCCGTTGGGACTAACCCAACTCCAGGGGTTACAGGTGCTAAGTAAGGAGCAAAGCTAATAGCCGTATTTGTCCCTATGGCAGGACCTACAGGAAAAGTGGGCTGTTAAAGGAAGACAACACAGGAAAAAGATTTCTTTAGAATAAAACTTTTAAAAATCACCAGCAAATGTCATTTGAGCAAAATAAATTCATCATATACTCTTTATGTTAATTGCATAATTTAATGCTGAACTGTGATAACAATAAAATTCATATAGATCCTTTCTTCCCCAAACCATACAATCATATAGGAGAACATCATAGAAGCCTAATTACAGAAAACAGATTAAACTTTTGTTCCTAAGAAGGGTGCTCAACAAAAGAAAATAACAATTTCTACTCTGCTCATCATTCTAAACAATTGAATGTTAAAACATTAAGGTAGTAAAACCTATGGAATATTGATTAATAATCTTTGATTTCTGTTGTATGTTTCTTAAAGGGAGAGGACTAAAGAAAACTCTTGATTATAGCCTGATTTTTAAGTTGATGAAGTTTATTCATTCTCAAAAAGTGGGGCTTGCTTGGGATTTTATTTTGGTCAGACTTGCCTGTATGTTTCCATATTCCATCACTAGCATGTATAGTCCCAAAATTCATATGCAGTTTCCATCTAGACCTACTATTTTTCCCTCCAACTCAATTATGTCTAGATCTAACCTTCCCTTCCTGAAAGGTTGGATAGAAGAGCTTGAACTTTTTAATTGACTAATTTGTCAACTGGCTATTAAAAGTTGGTTTGGTTTCCTGGGTCACAAAATCAACACAGCAGTGACAAGAGCATATAGTACCTTATTATATTTGTTCCCTATCACTATAGTCCTAGTCCAGGGATGAGAAGAAATATGCTAGTGGATTGATAGGATGATTTCTTTTAAAGCTCTACCTAAAAATATGTAAATAATTCTGCCTTTCAGAAAGGAAATAATATACATAGCAAATGTCGTTTTACCTTTTAAGAACCACTGTTAGAAATTTTAAATGCTAAATATTTTTCTTAGAATAAATTTTACATTGAATTGGACTTGAGTGCTTCTTGTTTTTCAGTGACAGATGATTTTTAACCTATTTGTTTTCAGATATTTGCAATCATATGTGAATGCAATTTTTTAACACTGAACTAGGATGTTGCCAGTATCATGGTTCTTCTCTATTTATACATTGCGAGTGGCATTCTCATTGTCTATTTACGACCCCGAATGAGTTTTGGTCTAAAATGTCTAAACACATTTTTCTTTATAGCAATAAGAGAAGAATATATCTTATAAATGGTCATTAAATTATTGATAATGTATGCAGGGAGTTCTGGGAGAGGCTGGAAAGTCTTTACTGAAGTGGCTGGGGGCTGGAAGAGACGATGTTAATGGTCTTAGAGGGCTGCTAGGTCAGTACACCCATGAGAAGCTCCTGGATCTTTACGGTTTAGATATAAAATTCACTTTGGGAGAGAGTTACAATATGAGATATCAACATGGGAAATAGATGGCAGTTAGGATTTTTTTCTTCCTTGACTTTTTACAGAGTTTTATATATATGTTACCCATTTGAGTTATAATTATAGAAAATGTGGTTTTCAGTAACTGTAGCTTTTGTAATTTAATACTATTGAAAAAAAGCCAGGTGATTTAAATAGTAAACGGACTATGTAATGTTAAGATTTAAAAAAAAAATCAGTTCTGAAAGTTGGAAATAACAACATATCAGGAATTCAATGGAACGGCTATATCATAATGTCTTGGGATGGGGGGATTTGAAAAACAGAGGTCAAATGTGACTCAATGGATCTAGCAGGGAGCTTGAAATTTGCATTTAAAAGTTTTTACTACATGATCGGACATTTGGCCAAATTTGAGGACCACTGTTATAAATGAGGAGTGAAACGAGTGTTAGCAATATTTGTACTAAATGTGAAATGTTACCCAAGTCTCATTATCAAAGTAAACAATTTAGAGAGACTATTCCTCCCTTGTACCTCCATTTTCTTTTCTGGAAGTGAATTCCTAACCCTCCCTTCCCACAGATCACCTGATGCCCTGGCCAGTGTGGTGACATACACAGGTGGGGCCTTCACTGTCAATAGGATGTGAGAAGCTCAAAACTCACTTCCCAAAACCTTCTTGGATATCAACAAATCTATTCCAGCTAGCTAAATTTTGCCTTGAAAAATACAGGTTACTTGTTTATCTGATTTAATAATCTAAAATCAATGTTCCAATATCTTTTATTGATGATGCTGTAATATAGGTCACAGAGAAAACAATATTATTTAAAAGTAAAACCACAGATTTTCGACTCCGAGAGACTTGAATTCAAATCCAGTGCTCTTCCACTTACTAATTCTTACTCCGGGGAGGAAATTAACGTCTCTGAGCTTTAATTTGCTCATCTGCAATAGGGAAGTAAAACTACTTAGCTTAAAGGGTTGGACCGAATGAAGGATTATTTCTCTCCTATTTCCCATGGTCAGAACCCAATAAATAGCAGCTGTCATTAGTAGGTCAAAAATCAAGTAAAGGTTTGGGTTTTTTTTTGTTTTGCCTCAAATTATCCAATGATCCTATAATAGGAATGTAATCAGCATAACTATATATAGATAAGGGTATAACTGAGTTAAATTATAGCAATAATCTTCTCTTTTTTGAAATATGGGCTGGGAAAATAAATATTTTCTACCATGTGGAACTGGCTGAAAGTTAAAAGTTAATAGGCCAATTGAGATAGACAGTTGGATATTTTCCTTATTTTATGTAGTGTTTTCCATTGAAGTTCATTAGTAAAAAAATACAGTCACGGTGATCTGCAGAGATGCATTCTGTATTGTTATTATGAACAATAATACTTTACATCTGCAAAAGGTTCTGGCTGTTCTCAAAGCATTCTGACACTCGTTGTAGTCCTCGTTAATCTTCTCAAATCCGTGAGAAGCAAGTGTGGCAGCAAGAAACGCAGTCTCGGGGGGCGGAGCAAGATGGCGGACGAATAACACCGCCAGACAGAGGGTCTCTGCAGAAAAGACCGATTCTAGCAGAAACTAGAGAAAAGAAGCAAGAAGACGAGCATACAGCGGACAAGGGCCGGAAGGAGGGGTACCTGAGACCCCGGGAGACTCCACGGGAGGAGGCTGCGGAGGAGAACTGGAGGCTGAGACCACCGGAGCAGCCCGGAGACCAGCGGCAAGGGTAGGTGGATTTGCTATTTCCCCTCCCCTGCATTCGGGACTGCTGGTGGGCTCCCCAGCGGGTGGAGAGACCTGCGGACATCAGCCCAGAGACTGACGCCGCCTGCCAACGGTGAGCCTGTAACAGACGTGG